GCTTGGGAAAAGGCTTCCAAGGGAGGTTGTGGAATCTCCATCATTGGAGGTTTTTAAGAACAGGTTGGACAAACCCCTGTCAGGGATGGTCTAGGTTTACTTGATGACTTCTCGACGTCCTTTCCAGCTCTTCATTTCGAAGAGTCTGTGTTGGAAAAAGAACATCAGTGACAAAGACCAGCCTAAGTCCCTCCTCTGATCACTGATATTTATTAGGATGTGGTGCTAAAAGACCAAGGCCGGCTCCAGGCACCAGCCGACCAAGTATGTGCTTGGGGCGGCACCTTGGAGCGGGGCAGTGCTAGGATTTTATTTATTTATTTATTTTATTTTGGTTTGGCGGTGGGGCGCTCTGGGGGGCAGGGGCTTGGCGCGGCGTTCGGAGGGGGCAGGGGCTTGGCACGGCGCGTTGCTTGGAGGGGGCGGGGGCGTGGCGCTTGGAGGGGGGGCGGGGGCGTGGCGCTTGGAGGGGGTGGGGCTTCGGGCGGCATGGTGCTGGGGGGGGCGGGGATTTCGGCGGCGCTGGGGGCGGGGCGGGTTCAGCTGTGCGTCGCTCATGGAGGGCGGGGTACTGCGGGGTGGCGCTCTTCTTTTTTGCCTGGGACGGCAAAAAAGTTAGAGCCGGCCCTGTAAAAGACTCCCTGCAAGTCAGCCATGTGGCAAATGAAGCCCATCTAGATCATATTGGCGTGTGAATAATCACACGGAATGACATATCTCCTTTTTAATACTGAGACTGTCAACTCTACAGAGCAGGGCCCATCCTTTATTCTGTGTTTGTATAGTGCTGATTACAATGAACCTCAATCTAACTGAGAGCTGAGGAAATGCTATCCTGCAATGCGGATCTACTGTTTTCTAGTAAGTTACCTTCATTTTCCTGCTCTCTGACAGAAGAATGAGATGAGCAGTTCCCATCCTTTCCTCTCTGAATTGCTTTCAGAGAGACTTCCTTTCAAGTGCTGTGCTATGCAGATATGTTGGATGTTTCCTTTGAAGAATGATTCTCTTGTGCCAGCAAATGAGGAACTACTTAAATATTCATGCTCAGGAACCTTGTGAATGACTGTAATGTACTGCAGGCTTTGTATTCGGCTGGAAAATGTTTATTATGGAAGGGCTTATAGAAGCTATCAAATGGCTCTTCTCAGATGGGAGGAATGAATTCTGGCAGAAGCGAGCAGCCTTTTAAATAAGGTGAACCGGTAGTTTGTTTTCATGCCCTGGCCCATAGAAGTTGATTTGGTAAATAATTGTATTAAATTATTGACCATTGAATGTGTTAAAAATTAAACCAGAGCTCTTGCTGTAACTAGAGGCACCAGGTAGCTTAGCTGGAAGCACCACGCTAGAAATAATGCCAATGACCCACAAGTATAGTTCTGTCAGTGTTTTTGTGACCTTTAATTAATTACCGTAGTATCCAAGCACCTCAAACAATGAATTAATCACTCCGCTCCTGTGGTGATCGGCATAGTACAAGAATCTAAATAGGACAGTTACCCTCTTACCCCCCCTCCCCCCAATGAAGTAGGGAAATAGTCTCCTCATGTCACAGATGGAGAAATGGAGGCACAGAAAGACATAGTGATCTCCCCAAGGTGATGCAATCATTGGCAGAGCTGGGGCTTAGAACCCAGGCCTCCTGATTCGCTCCTTTACTTCAACCACCATATATAACAATTTATCCCAATCTATCACCCCTGAAATGT